GGCTCGGGTAGCACAACGACAGTGAAGAGGTTCCACCTTGCTCTATCCTCTCTTTCTTTCTGGCTGATTCGGCCCGACGCCTCTATTTGATTCCTTCGCACTTAACACCTTAAACTTGCTCATCATCCTCTTTCTGTAAGGTACAACTCTTCGCATGTTAGTGGGTGACGAAGAGACCTACCAAAGATGATAAGTTTGTTGTATCGAACCAACAAGATGTACAACAATAGGTTAACGAGTAGAAGCAAGGTACCTTGTTGAACTTCAGGGACGTATCCCCACAAGTGACTCCTCCTCAAGTTTGCTTCGTCGAGTACTTGACGGTAATTCTCTCTTCCCTAAGAGTGCAAGAGGCTCAACTTTTCTCCTCAGCACAGAGTCTCGACAACGCTTTGCTGTAGTACAACTCTGCAAAAAATGAAACAATGAGATTCAGCACACCAACACTAAACGAAAACAAAGTTTACTTATCGTTGTCTGCCTAGAGGAACGAATACCCTCAGCTTCACCTTCCAAAGACCAACACCCTTCACAAAGAAGTAGTTGTCCTTCCACTTTTATCATTGTCTTCAACCTAGTCACAATATGTTTTCGATCATGCCGTAGCATAAAAGGTATCTATCTCTCTCCTTGTCAGGCTTATTAAGATCATATGAAAAAATAGGTCCATGGCTCTGATTTATGATAGACATTCGATGAACAAAGCAATCATCAGACGTTCGGCATCAACTGGCTGGAGCAATCTCATAATGACTTAGACACTCACGCACCAACCTTGGGATGGGAAAACGCATCCCTTCAACCAAAGTCTATTTGTAAATGCTGATCCAACCTGGCACAGACCAATCCACCCTCTTGTGCCTAGTCGGCACTCTCATCTCAATCGAATCAGGTATCTTGTACAGATAATAAGCTTTATCATCTCCATCGGCAGAGCCTGGACAGCGGATTGTTATCAAGCATCCCAACTTTGGGACGGCTCTGCTCGTCCATATGACACAAACTTGTCGAGGGAACTTTGCTCTCATCGTTCGATCCTATCAACGATACCCTTCAATCAAACTTGCTGTCAGAGGCTTCACTGTTGGAGCCATCATCGCTCGATCTGCATCATGACACTCGACATAGTCCCACATGGAAAGCGACACTTACCCTCAGTTGGAGCGCATCGCCACCTTTAGGGAGCACCACCATGGTGGGCGCATCTTTACACTCATTTCCCCCAGACATCACCGCTCGGCTCTAATCTGGCAAACTTCAAATTATACACCACTCAGCACTATTGCTTATCAAAGGAGTCTTAACTCACTCTTCGCTTGGTTGGCTCAACCAAATCCAATTCAACCTTCCTCAAAAGTCCTTCACCTTCGTCCCTTTCTTCACAACAAAACTGGAAACCACTCACGTCCTGAAACCCGCCGAAAAACTCCACAAAGCCGTTGTTTTCCCAAAAACTCAAAACCCAAACTTGAAACAAACCCAAATTCCTCAAACGAGTCTCTAAACACTTGGTTTATTCACTCTCTACAGAAAACAACAGAAAAAAAGAAAAAGAAAAAGGACAAAAAAAAAAAAAAAAAAAAAAAAGCAAAGATTTACCGTGACAAATGGCTGAAAACAAGTTTCTCTAGAGCAAAATTCCACCTGCATTTTCTCTCTCGAAACAGACCCAAATGGTAAAATGGGTTCAAAAATGAAGAGGCATCGCATTTAATAGGTTTCAGTCTACAAGGGGATAGGTGGCAAAATCTCATTGGCAACCAAAAGGCGAAAACTTTTTCGCTTCTCGCCTTTCCCGTCTCGCATGTGTGATTCACACAAAGCAAGACACGTAGGCATCCTCACCGTATTGTTCAAGGATCCTTCCATCATACTAGCTTGGCACGGGTTGGATGTACCCTACAAGGTGCCTAATTAGGAAGCCAAGACCCACACCTTTATGTTTTCACCACTTCAAGAACCCAACGACGCCTCCAGTCGGCTCAGGTTCGACCGATAGTTTCTCCATTTGACTACCCAATGACTCCCAAGATGGAACAGTATGGGCTTTCAATCACCTTCGCCCAGATCATCATAGGGGAACGATTGTCGAGCCGAATCGTCATTCCTTGGCTCTTCATTTTCACGACCCATGGTCTCTCCACAGTCGAAGCAGTGCCGGATGGTCTCGTTTGTGGGATTCAACCAAGCTAAGTTGCATCCTTCTTTGCTTAGATGATGTAATTCTCTAGCAAAACACCACCGAACCAGGTGAGCATCAACGTGATTCTTTGGAATCACCTCAGACAAGATCCTCACAATCTTCTTTTCGTTCAGTTTGGTCATTGAGATAGAGCCAAGCTGATCATGTCCCATGGGCACCCACAACAGTCAAGTCCTCCTCCTAGGAGTAATGACTTATCCATATCCCGAATATGAGTAAATGAATCTACTCTCTAAGCTAAATACCCTTTGACTTAGAGAGTGGGGGAAAAACTGTATAGGCTAAAAATCGTATTAGACCTAACAATGTCTAATAATAATATGAACATGTCATAGCTCAAGGCTTTGGCCCAACTTCGGTTGAGCCCATGCTTAAAATACCCTGTGAACTATCCGCTCTATGAGTTGGGCCACCCCATGAGTTAAGCTGAACTGGGTTCAGCCCATTTACCCACAGTAGTCCACAATAGGGACCAGAGTCCCAATCAATTTCCTCTGCTAACAAGATCCTAGATCTTACCCAAAGAGGAAAGTCTGAACCGATAAAGGTAGGAAATCTAATCTCCTTCCAAAAAGAGAACTCCTCTGCTAAGTAGGACTCAGAGTTTTACTAGGATTCCAACACCCTTAGGTTGACTATGTAAGTAGCTAAGGTAAACCCTCTCATTAGGCATTCAGAAATCACACTTAAGCTCTAGCGTTTTCACCCCCAAGCTCTTAGCAAATTCCGACAACATCCTGGCATTACTAGGGTCCTCCCGACCGCAAAGGCACCCTTTGCAGGTCTACCAAGATTGTTAGTGGCTCGCATCACAAGATTTTGTCTTAATAATTGTAATCGTAGATTTTACCGTCTACAACAATTAACTTAAAAGAGAGGAGCTTTTACTTTTTCGGAGTAGAATTTATAGAAGAAGAGTGTATGGAAATATAATTTTTATGAAAAAATTATTAGCTGTTTAGTTAGGAAAAGGTGAAAAAAACTTTATAGTTTTAATTTACCAAAAATAGCTACAAGAATAATTTAAGTAAAATATATAAAATAGAATAAGATTTTTTTTTCATTATTGAATTTGAATATTTTAAATAAGCTCAAAAAGAGCTTATGGGAAAAATTCAAATTTTGTGTTTCTTCTATAAGCTGTAAAATAGCTTATTTTAGATCCTAAATGTTACCAAACAACTTAATAAAAACTTCAAAAGTGCTTATGACTTTAAGTAAGTATTTTTAACCCGTAGATAAACCCAACCAAACAAGCTTTTAAATCTTAATACTATCCCAATTTAATAAATTATTAAAAACCAATTAACATTACTAAATAGTCTATTGAAAATATAAAAGGAAACCCTTAAAATATCATAAACCCCTATAAATAGTGAAAAAAATAAAAATAAAAATCTTATTCTATTTTATAGAAAAAGTAATAGGAATGAATTTATAGAAAATAAAGTAAGTTTTAAATTTGAAATTGAAGAAAATAGAATTTAAATAAAATAATTAAGTCAAATTAAACTTAGTGGTGTATTTTTTATATTAAACAAGATTTAAAGTATGGAATATAAAAGAAAAATATTTAAGAATGTAGGACCTAATAATTACGCACAGAGTCCTAAGAGTTGTCAATATTTATTACCATCAACAATATTTTTATATTTTACTTTTCTCAAAAACGCATAACTTCTTTATATGGTAAGTTGGTTAATAAATAGTACTGGACAGAGATGACAAAGTTTAAATGCCCCCAGAATTTACCTCTCTTGACTATCATTTATCCTTAAAAGTTAAAATTATTATTTATCCCCTTGAGATTATCATTGAAGCCCTTAATCAAGTATTAAAAACCGCCTTGATAGCCAATAGGGGGATATGCAATACTTTTCAGAAACCATGAATCGTTTAAAAACTTCATCTTTCAAGGGATGAGTTAAAAAACCCTTCTTAAATTCCTATAAATACATGTATGATGTATCATACTGTCACAATCACTTATTGCACAAAAGCAGTAAAGCACTTTCAAAACTTCTTCAAGATATGGCGAAAAATTTCATTTTTTTATATATTTTCCTCACCATTTTCGTATTCTCATCAGGTACTTTCTCTTCCATTTCAAAGACTTCAAAAGGATAGATATCTCTTTCTTTTACATTACTTCCGTTCTACCTACAAATTGTATGCAACTCTTTAGCTTCTATCCATGATACATATAAAATAACACTACACTAGACAATTACATAACCGTATAAATTCTTTTGGGTTTATTTCATTTTTCTGTGGTAACATCATTTGATATTAACTCATCCGCTTCATTCAGTAAGTATTAAATATCTCATAATTGGGGGTTTTTTGATAATTTTTTTATTATTAATTTTTAATATTTTCTGAACAAAGTGGATGAGTAACTAAGAAGTGACCTCACTAGAGGAAAAGTGGACGAAGCCAAGATTTTTTTATATAAACTAAAATGGTCGGAAGATGAGATTTCTAATTTGTTACACAATTAATTTTGTTTTTTGTTTTTTTTTTATAATTTATTAATTATAGTTTTTCTTGTTATTGGATATATTATTTTGTTTTTTTGGTTTATATTCTTTCACCAATAACATTAAAGCTTTATTATTGAGTTTCAAGAGTTTCATATTGAACAACTATGAGATTCAATCTTTATAAAGAGGATAAGTCACTTAACTTGATCGACCGGTCCTCGTAAATTACTTTGTTTAGCTATTCATTTGAGATAGAATTCGATTGTTTATTAATGAAGTATATATACTAACTTGATCTATTGATGACAAATTCAATGGGCAAATTATTTTCTGCAATACAAGGGGAAATATGCACAGAAGATTTGGGTTCATGTGATGATACTTGCAATTCAAAGTGTGCATCAAAACATCCAAATGGTAAAGGCTTTTGTGATTCTTCCTCCCATTTATGCAAGTGCTATTATGAATACTGCACTGCACCACCATCATCATTCCCACCACCGCCACCGCCACCGCCACCAACACCACCAAACCAAAAAACATGCACTGCTGGCATTGGTAGATGCAGTGCAGCCTGTAATGATGCATGTTGTAATGAAAATTGTGCTGCTAAATATCCTGGACCTTATGGAGGCCATGGAATATGCTTCAATGCTCTTGGACCTAGCATATACAACATGTGCCTTTGCATATTTGATTGTTCAAATCTTCGGAAGATTTAATGGGGTCATTTCAGATTGAAATAAAGAGCTTCATTCAATAATATTTTAATTTCCGTTTTTTTACTTTCTTTTTGTTTTCTTAAATTTTCAATGATAAAGAGCTTCATCAAAACTTTTAAGGCTCATGAATGACTGAAATCACCTGAAGACGAAAAGAACAATTTGTTGGTCAGCTGGTATACCTGACCAAGTAAAAAATCACGAGGACCAGACTTCTGTCGGAGGAGATCCAAGAAAGTCCCAACTAAAACCATCAATAGAACTCCGAGATGACAGCAACTGAGGCCATTCAGTTCAGTTCATCATTGTGACTTGAACACAGTTTAAATGTAGTTTTGAAATATCACTGTAAAGTACCACTCATACGAGGAGATGATAAAGAGATCAATTGTGCCATTATCAAGGAAAGGAATCAGAAGATTGTAAAATTTCTTTGAAGACTCAATTTTTCAAAGGACATCAATTTCACCCAATATCAGTTCAAGTAGGATGCTAACCAATTCTTTTAGAAATCCTTTCAGAAAAGTCAGAGACAAGAGCATACTTGTTGTTCTCATAACATGCAGTCATGAAGGCTGCCAGAGTCACACGATCAACATTATGGTCCTTATCTAGTAATTTATGAAAGAAAAATGCTGCTATGCCTACTTTACTTTCACTACAAAGTTTCCTGACCAAGGTATTAACTGTTCGAATCCAGAGCTTTTTGTCTAGGTTTTCCAAAACAACCATTGCCATGGCAGAATCATCTTTCTTGCAGTACTCATAAGCCAATGTCACCCGAGTAACTTCACAGGGGGAAATCCCCTTGTCAATCATAGTTTCATACAACTCACAAGCCTCAGCCAACTTGGATTCTTTACAAAGCCCACTTATAAGAGCCCCATAAGTAAAACTATCTCGTACGCAACCATGTTCACCCATCCTGTGGAAAAGCTTTACCGCCATACTGACATTTCCATCCCTACAATACCCACAAATCATGGAAGTATATGTTTCCTTTGTTGGAAACAACCTAATCCTGATGGCTTCCTCAAAAAGTTTCTCACTTTCTTTCATTTTCTTTTGCCTACAAAATGCAGCAATCAATGTAGTATATGCATGTATATCAGGCTGCAGAGCCACTTTAACCATCTTACAGAAAAACACCAGGGCTTGTTCAATCTCACCTCGCTTGCAGTGCTCAGATAATAGAATAGTGTACGTAATTTTATCAGCCTGCAATCCCTGTTCAAACCCCTTTATAAGAAACTCATAAGCTTCTGAAACCCTTCCCCTTTTACAAAGGCCGTCAATAATTGCATTATAAGTATAGATATTAGGAGTAAAGCCTTCTTTGCCCATCAAATCCATCAATTCATATGCTCTTTCAAAACTCCCTGCTTTGCAATGGCCATCAATAAGACTAGTATATGTGTTGGTGTTAGGAACCAGTCCTTGTTCCTTCATTCTGCCCAACAACATCTCTGCACGATTCATCTTCTCCTCTTTGCAGTATCCACTGATCATAGCAGTATACGTATGCACATTCGGCTTGTAATTATCACTTCGAACAAGCTTAAGAAACAGCCTGAATGCCTTTTCGATCCACCCCTTCTTACATAGCCCATCAATCAGTATAGTATGAGTATACACATTCGGTTTCAAGCCTTTTCTAACCATTTCCTCCAACATTTCAAACGCTTGCTTAATGCTACCCTTCTTACACAACCCATTAATCAAAGCCGTGAAATTGATCAAATTTGGTTTCAAACCCGCCTCAATCATCTTATCAAAATACCAAAACGCTCTACTCACAAAACCCTTCTCACAGAAGGCACTGATAATCAATGTTAATGTAGCATTATCAACAAGAAGTGCTCTCTCAATCATTGCACTCAACCACCTATCCGCCTCTCTAACTCTATCCATTCTACAATATGCAATAACCATCAATTTATAACTGCAAGAATCAGGACAAACCCCTCTTTCACACATTTCTTCAAACACTTTCTCCGCGAACTCAACCAAACCCATTTCACAAGCAATCCCCATAACAAAATTAAAAGTGCCGGTAACCAACGGCAACCCATGATTTGAAACCTCAATAACCATGCTAAACGCCTCCTTCAGTCTCCCAATTTCAGCGAAACTCCTCACCATACACTGCATCACCTCATGGGCTCTCTCAAATTTCCCATTATCAATCAACGTCGTGGCGCAAACTATATAAAGCCTCATAAAATGACGAAACTTAGCAAACCCGATCGCCCAGTAAAAGAAACTGAGTGCCACCATCGAACCCGCTTCTTTAGCGAGTGAAGCAACCACAGTAATGGCCTGTTCGTGGGTCAAAGAATCGGTGTCTATGTAAAGATTGAGCTTGGGAGGGGATGATAAGAAATGGGTTTGTTTGTAATAGGATTCCAGGACCATTGAGCAGATTGTTTTGACAAAAGATTGCGGCAGTGCCGGGCCCATTGATGAAGATGATGGAGAAAGAGTAGAGGGAAAGTTATCATGGCGAGTCTGGTAACAGAATGGCCTGAGAATGAAGAGAGTGAGAACTGGTGAAGGTGATAGTTTTCGTTGAAGGCAATGAAATCTCTTAACGAAAAGAGACATCATATCAGAAGTTCAACTCTGTCCTTCTGTTTCTTGCCAAAAATGTCGAATTTGTGTTGCAACCATAAGAATTTGAATGGATTGTCAGTGCCCGGGGCTTGCTGTTTCAGTGCCATAGACTTTGGGTGTGAGATCTGAATTCTTCTTTTATAGTCTTAAAACTTGAAATTGGCTAAACCTCGACAAAAGGACCCCAAAAAAAGCATTGAGAAACAGTAGACAAGAGCTGGCAAAGTTGGTAGTAATTCTGGTCCTTTATATTTCACTCACATTCTTCTATTGCTTGAAAATCCCATCTATAACCTGAATGAAATAAATAAATAAATAAATAAAAGAAATTTCATTTTCTTTTAAACCTTCCTTTCTTTTCTCCTGATTGCAGATTCAGCTGTGGACAAGAACTAGCAAAGTTGGTGGTAAATTCTGGTCTCTTGAAGCAATCATAGGCTAAAATTTCAAAGCTTTACAATGAATTCAATCAAATGAGACAATAAAATGCAAAGTTTATCAAGAATCAAACATTATCATCATAGTTTTTGTCACATCATCCACTTGGACAAAGCAGATTCTTTAAGAAGAAGAGATGGTTTCATCAGCATCTTTTCCTGAACGCAGCTCATTTTTCCCCTTAGTTGGGTAAATAACTCCTTTTTATTTTCATACTCAACAGGAAATTTGTTAGAATAGGTTTGTAATTTTTTTTAAAATATTTACTTTTATTAATATTTTAATAATTCGGGGATTTTGGGTCGGATCAAGCTGAAGTCATCAATCTTCATCCTTGGCCATCCCTACACCCTGCTTCATCCTCGACCCAAACAGGGTAGGAGCCCCTTGGAGAATTTTACCATCACAAATCCTCAAGTTTGGTCCCAACTTGCTCGAAGTTGACTTAAGTGGAATGTCTGACCTTTAAGAGGGCGAGATAGGGCACTGGCTAATAGGGTTTTCTTGCCAAGAATTTGTGGATAATTACATTTAGGGTACGTTTGGTTTGGGGAATGTTTTATTACTGAAAATATAGGATTATCAACGAAATAGACTACCTTGAAGATTACAGGGGAATGTTATATCAATATGTTGGTTAGATTAGTGGGTATAAATAATTAAGATGTTTGGTTGGGAATAATAAAATATTATCGACAGAGGTTTTTACTGAATTGCCCTTCCTTTTTATTATCATTATAATTTAAATAATAATATTATTATTATTATTATTATTTAAATCAATTCTTTTAACCCCTTATATTTGAGAATTTAGCTAAAACACCACCAACAACAGAGTTAAAATTTTAAGAAAATACCCCCAAGCACCCAAGACCACCGACCACCATAGCCGGCCATCGACGTCAATCACCAAAACGACACAAGACCGGTGAGATCAGGTTGGCCGTGCGCTATTTTGGCTATTTTCAGCCAGATTGAAGGTCGAGAACAGTTGGATCATTGTGGATCTGGCTAAAAACGGCTAGATACGCGGCGATCTAGCTGTTTCTAGCCAGATCCAAGTTGATCTGGCTGTTTCTGACTAGATTGAAGGCTGAAAATAGCCAGATTATCGTGGATTTGGTCGGAAACGGACACAAATGGTTGATGGTAGCTCATGGGGCAACCAAGAAACAACTGATAATCTCGACGAAGAAGCAACTCGCGGGTTTGTCGGGGCGATTGGGTTAGGTTTCTCGCGGCCGGCCCTCAAGCGAACTGGGAGAGAGCTTGGGGGGCCCCAAGTGCTAAGAAGCCAGCAACTGTTTCCAACACAGTTGCCCAAAAAGATACTCCCAAACTCCACAAAGGCTTGATGAAGAAACACATCGAGCCGATGGAAGGCTCGGGGAAGAAGAAGGTGACTGAACAATTGGAGGGCTTAGGAAAGAAGAAATTGACCGAATAGCTATGAGGGTTAGGGTAGAAAAAGTCGACCAAGTGGTTGGAAGACTCGGGATAGAAAACTACCGAAGCGACTTAAGCATGAGCAAGCTGAGGTCTTCAAGGTCAAAGAGAGAAGGTTTCTCGACAACTCTCTCAGATTGAAGTTTCCCAACAACAAGTAGAGAAGGACTTGGCACAATAGGGAGGTGCCAACAATAAGCTGGCTTTCGAGCTTGCCGTGGCTTAGAAGGCTATGTCGGACTTGGAGGCCAAATTCTCAAACATGTCAGGTCAGCTCTTCTTTGAAACGAAGAACTGCAAAGAGGCCGAGGTAGAAACTGTTAACTTCAAAAGAGAGGTTAAGGAGCTGAAGGTAGAGGTCAGAGACCACACCTGGGAGACGTCGGTCTACTTAGTCCAGCGCCTATGGGAGGCCCACCACTCGCTAGACTTTTTCTTTCTTCCCACCATCTATCAGAAAGAGATAAAGAGGACGAAGGCTAAAACACTAGGCTTGGAGTTTGTTTACTTAGACAACTCCAAGTCCGATAAGAGCGAGGGCGAGGAAGGAGGCGATGAAGAAGAAGAGGCCGATCAAACAAGAGGTCGAGGACTAGACCCTGCCAGCTTCACCTTCGGTTGATGCCTACGACCTTCCCTCAGGCGAACCGTCAAAAGACACACGTTAAGCTCTCATTTCCGAAGACGCTCCTTAAGCTCCTTGCTTCTGAAGATGCTTCTTAAGCTTCTGCAACATAAATTTACTTGATTTTTGTTTTTTTGTTTTTTTTTTGTTGTTGTTGTTGTAACAAAACATCGATCAATTAATGAGATTGAATTTTTCCCATTTTGGTTGAGCAATAATTTTATTTCTCCGAAGTCATTTTAATTGTTCTAACTGAACTTAGTATAATAATTCGAATTTGCTCCAAGTTATGCATAGCTCGTTTCTTTAGGAACTTTTCAAACAAACAAGAAAATCTTTCTTTAGACAATGCCGAGTTAAGGTTGGTCGCTCATCTCGCATTTTGATCGCCAAATTTTGATCGATTTTCTTTTGATGTGTTTTATTCAAGTGTTTTCGAGTTTTAATTTCATCGAGTTGGAGAATGTTTCTCTTGATGAGTTCGAATTTTGGCGTGGCTTATAGAGCTAAGCTGCCTTTTTTCTAGCTATAGACTTCGAGTTTTTTAGATGTCGCTGCTTAGGTCGCAATTTTGAAACAGATAAATAATAATAAATAAAAGGAAGTTTTGAATAATACATCTTTATTGATAATAAAATTGGCCATAAGACACCTTACACTACATAAAGAAATAAAAAATGAACCCAAGCTATTTACTGATAGTATCTTCGCAAATGCTCAACGTTACATGTTCACAGTACAACTTCACCATCAAGGTGTTCCAAGTGAAAAGTTCTTAGTGCGAGCTTTCTTGAGATCCTAAAAGGACCTTCCTATTTAGGCCCAAAAGCCCCCGAGTTCATGTTTTGTGCACTAGAGATGATCTTTCTTAGAACTAGGTCGCCTACCCCGAAGTCTAGATTCTTGACTTTTGAGTTGAAATATCTCTTCACTTGTTGTTGGTATGAGGCAACTCTTAGTTGAGACTTGGCTCGATGTTCCTCGATCAAGTCAAACGAAGAAGATCCTCGTTAGACTCTTCATTAAAGACTTCTTGCCAAAACGAACTAACCCTAACTTCAACCGGGGCCATTGCCTCACATTCATAAGAAAGCGAGAACGGGGTCTCTCCTGTCGAGCTTCTAGCTGTCATTCTGTATAAACATAAAGCCTCAGGGAACTTGTCTACCCATCTTCCTTTAAGAGAGTCAAGCTTTTTCTTAAGGGTGTGCTTGATCACCTTATTAACAACATCTACTTGACTGTTAGCTTGAGGCTGGTAGATGGTGGATAAGCTTTTCCTTATATAGAGCCTTTCACAAAACGAATGGAAATCTTCACAATCGAACTATTTTCCATTGTCGGCGATGATAGTATGGGGGATTTTGAACGTACAAATGATTTTTTTGTAGACGAAATCATTTAACTTATTTGAAGTGATGGTCGCTAAAGGCTTGGCTTCTGCCCACTTGGTGAAGTAGTCAACTGCGACTACCGCAAACTTGACACTCCTTTCCCCTGAGGTAAAGGACCTATTAGATCAATTCTCGAAATTGTAAATGGTCATGGGCTTGTTAGAGTAGACTTTTAGGGTGGAGCTTGTGGAATATCTACGAACCTCTGACATTTGTCACATTTTCGTACGAAGTCGATCGTATTGTCAAAGACTATCGACCAATAGTATCCTTGGTGGAGTACCTTGTATGCCAAATATTGGCCTCCGGTATGATTTCCACAGATACTCTCGTGGATTTCCCTCAAAACCTGAATTTGGCATTCTCTCAAAATATTCTATTGCTTCTCTAGGCTTCGCATTCTGTGTGTAACCAGTGATCATCGCAATCTAGGCCACCAAATCCTTTAAAAGCAACCCATCAAACAATGCACTAGCATATTTCATATCCCCACTCTTGGTATATGCAACAATCAACTCAGTCCAAGAAATCACGTCTTTCTCAAGCATTTCATCAAACACCTTATGCCCACAATCTAAAAACTTGCATTTTACATACATGTCAATCAAGGTATTACCAACATATAGATTAGACACAAAACCACCAACCAAAGTCGTCTGAGCATGCAACTACTTACCCAAATTCAAATCAAGAATCTCACTAAAACCCTTAAAAAGTACAGAAAACATAAAAGAAACTGGGTCAATACCTTCTCTCCTGATAGAACCATACAACAAAATTGACTCCTTCAAGCATCCTTGTAAAGAATGCCCACGAATGAGAGCAGTCCAAAGAAAGGGGTTTCTATATTACACTTGCTCAAAACTGAGAGGAGGATAGAAATCCATCGAAATGAACAAAATTGACTTGATTCAAATTGGGGGAGAATTTGTTAGTGTATGCCCTAGAAACCATTCGTGTTGCTAGTTTTGGAGCATTTTGTCTTGTATCAATATATCATAAATAATAGAAGAAAGAGTTCTTCAATTCATATATATAAATTGCTTCCTTTATTCAGTCATGCATTTAAAATAAAGTATGTATATGAATTGTCCAGATGATTCATTTAATCAGTAAATGAATTTATCAAAAGGTTCCCTACGGAAGCAATATAATTTGGGCAACTATATTGCATAGTAGACATA